CGCAGCAGCAGGCAGGCCACTACCATATAGCAAAGGGTCAGCCTCCACATTTGGTATTCGGGCACTGGCTGCGTGTTGCGCAAGCGCTACTGTGCTAACGCTAGTCAGGCTCACTCACTCACGGACGAGCTTTCTGCTCTTACTTCGGAGAAGTTATTGACATCATCCGGCAACATTGTAGAGTAGGCTAGATAGGATATGCCATCTSTAGTCTGGGCGCCGAGAGCCAGATAGGATATCAACATTGGTTCTTCGTTGATGATGATCAGACTATTCCAGCATTAACATAGAATTTCGGAAAACCCAATAAAAAAAGTGTTGGGTTTGAACGAAATCTATTTAGGATTTTGAGCGTATGGTTTTTATGCTTACTCTAGGAGCAAGATTCTTTGAAAAGTAAAAAAACAACAAAAAAATAATAAAAAAATAAATTTCAAGAACCATTGGAAGTGACGAGGAAAAAATCAGGTTTTTCCACAATAAATCATTATTAGGCGAAGTATTGCATATTTAGAAATTAAAATATATATATTTTTTTGTTATCTCAAAAGATCATGTGTATAGTCTGTAGGCAAACTTCCTCTTTTTTAATATATATATATATATATATTTTATTACTATTTTTTTTAACTTGCGGTTGACTAAGAATTTAAAGATGTCTCCTAGACAAAAATTGTTTGAAATATTATTTTACATAACATACATTTTTTGGCAAGGATTTTATTTTTAACTTCAAAATTGTTTTATAAAGTCTATAAAATGTTGGAAACAACATACTGACCTTTATGCTTGAATTCAAAAAAATATATTTTTTTACAACTTTCGAGTTTGTTATATTGAAGCTTTATTTTTTTTGTCAATCTATTGAGAATGACTTATAGTCCTATAACAGGATATTTGCAAGCAAGAGGTTTCCTCCACATTTTGAGGATCGCTCCACCGTTTGCTAGATTTTTTGCTTTATTTTTTGGAAAGTGCTCGAAAATGTACTTAAAAAAAAAAAACAGAAATAGAAGTTTGAGTTCTAGTTTTTCACTCTATACTAAATGTTGGGTTTTCTTCTTTTGTATGATTTTCACGAATCCTGTGTTTATTGTCCATTATGAGCTCTTGGTGTGTTCTTATTTGGTGAAACTTGTGTTGCAATTCTACTTTTGGTTCAAGGTCACGACTATCTGGTCTCATGTGTATGATGTTGTTTGATTGCTGAAGTTCGCTATCGCTCATCTTCCTTGCACTATTTTTAGGCCCCGAAAACATTATTGGGGTTTCATGCCCGTTCTGGGCCGCTGGCGGTCGGCCGCCGCAGGCGGGATCCCAACCACAAGCGGTAAAATGGCCCGCGGTCGCGATCGAGGGTGATACATAGACTGAGGAGGGTGACGAGATGCGTACCTGCTGCATGAAGATAGGTCGGCTATAAACGAAAAAAATTCCCAAAATTAATAATCATTCTATAGGTAAATTACAATCTAAATTTCAAATTTTTATTCCATCTTAAAAATTGTCATATTTCAATTTTAAAATTTTTCATCTTACTTGCAAACTTTCATTCCAAGAATAGGGTATCCCTTCTTATTCGGACTGCATGCTAGAGATGGAATGAAAGTGTGGATGAGTTGATGAGATATTTTAATTTRACTATCATTCTAAGTAAGGATTTTCAGTCATAAATAGGTTAATTCAATCTAAATTAGAAGGTATTTGTTGTACTAGAATGAAAATTTAATTAAAAMATTTCATAAACTCGTCCAGACTTTCATTCCATCTTGAGTAAATAGATGTAGTTGGAAGAGAAAACTCATATTTAGACGGGAACTTATCAAATAAAACTGAAAATTGTAGAATTGGACGAACATTGGAATGATAATTTATAAATATGAAGGATTTTTTTTTTATGGAATGTTTTTTCAACTTTCATTTCTCATGGGAATTTTTCTGTTGATGGTGTTGACAGTCATGTACATTGGTCTTCGTGAGTCGAAGTGAGCCTGTTGYGTGAACCAGCTGTAGGTAGGATAGTGGGGTAGAGTAGGTTGGGCACTGGGCGCCAAACAGAGGGGAGCGTCTTTGGATACCGTATTGGTGTGGCCTACAGCCTTGAACATTSACTCATTTYTTCATTGTATTGCTCTCTGTGCATGGTTTCTCGGTGCATTGTATACTCTCAGCTTGAATATGACTACCAGGATAGCTGTGTGATTTCGCAACTTTGTTTTYTGTATATCGTTCACACTCATATTCCTTGCAAAAGGCGGAGAGGAGAAATAAAAAAACAAAGAAAAAAAAAGACTTTGGATACTGTATATATCGTTTACACTCATATTCCTTGCAAAAGGGGAGCGTCTTTGGATAATATATATATCGTTCACACTCATATTCCTTGCAAAAGGGGAACATTTTTGGATACTGTATATTATTTGTACTTTGAGTGAAATTTTGAATTGGCACTGTTCATGGCGATAGCCCAAGCTTGTGTGTGCTTTATCTGAATACTCCCAATTTGCATGTGGTATTTTGAGTTGGATCTTGTGGGAATCATTGCAGTAAAAAAAAAAAAGGGAAAGTTTCTTTTTTCATGTGTGTGTGTGTGATAAGGGCGACTCCTTCCTCACCAATCAACCAATAAATCAAACAACCAATCAAAAAAAAGAAACAGTGAGAAAATATAAACAGAGGGTTCTACCCGCGCGTGTGTGTATGTATGTGTGACACTGTGTGTGTGTGTGTGTGTGTGTGTGCGGGGGGGAAGGGCGACCCCTTCCCCACCAATCAATCAATCAATCAATCAATCAATCAATCAATCAATCCATCAATCAATTAATCAACCAGTCAATCAATCAGTAAATAAATCAATCCAAAAAAAAAAACAACCAAGGAACCAAGGAACCAAGGAACCAATCAATCAATCAATCAATTAAGAGAGAGCAAGGCAAAAAACAAAACAGCCGGTTTTTCAATAGAAAGAATAAATGAAAAGGAAAAAAAAAAAAAAAC